GCCTTGCGCTCCCCCTTTCCACAATAGTCTTGTGATCCCCTTTTGGGTCGGGACCCCCAGTTTGAGAAACACTGCCATAAGGGCATTACCTTATGCAGCCCCTCAAAGGGCTTTGTTAGGTCTCTGGGCAGGCCGAGTGTGAACCCAAGAGGCGGAGCCAGCCCTCTGACCTTGCCCCAGGAAAAGGTAAGCTTTCCTGAGGGAATCTGCAGGTCAGCAGCACCTCGCCCTTTCCCCCAGGGAAGGAAACCTTACACGAGGCCACAAAAATGCTGCTCTTTCTCCTCCACAACCCCACCCACTTCTTGCAACAATTGCTAGATGAGTCACGGCGGCTGCATCATCTATCACTCTGCCCTGGGTCAAAGAGACACACTCACCCCACCGCATTTTCTGCCACTCTTTGTTAAGTGACTTGAGCCCTGGGTGAAAGGTGCCTCTCTAACAGAGGACCTAAGTGTCCAGGAATATCAATGTAGCCGCAAGGGCATGCTTCTCCCACCTACCTACCTCCAGACACACTCCAATGCCCACTGAGGTCCATAGAAAGACTCCCACTGATTTCAGTGGGCGTTAGATCAGGCCACGTGCACCTCAGGCCATGACCTGCTGGGATCACTTTGAATTGGGAAAAGAATTGAGTCTACAGCTCATCTCCTGACCTCTCTGCTGAGCCTGCCCACCACAGCCAGTTATAGGAGCTGTGACCCAGACACCTAACCACCGTGGCTGGGTAGATGCAGGGCTGGCGCAACCCATTAGGCGACCTAGGCGGTTGCCTAAGGCACTACAATTTGGGGGGCGGCAACCACGGCGGTATTTCGGTGGCGGGACCTTCCGCCGCCTCTGTGGGGGGCGGCATTTCGGGGCAGGACCTTCCGCCGCCTAGGGCGTCAGAAAAGCTGGCGGCGCTCCTGGGTAGATGTTACTACCCTCCCTCAGACAGTCAAACTGGCATCAGTCAGTAGCAATGTTCAGTCACCACCAATCTAGACCTGAACCAGTGACCTGGTGATTAAAGGCTTTGTACCCCATCCAAGCCCACCAGGAGCCCAGCTGCTGTCTGTCAGCTCTAGTCTGAGCAGCCTTCCATAGAGCTGGCTACTTGCCAAGTTAGACCAAGTAGGACAGCACTAAACTAGCAGTGGGACAAGGGGTAATAAAAAATAAAATAAACCCCACAATTACCTAGGCACATTGGGGGATGGGACCATATTTACCCTACCACACACACAAATGTACCCCTGATTGAGAACCACTGGTCTATGTCCCCATGGGGGACGCAGAGGTCTTCCAGGGGATACATCAATTCATCTAGATATTTGCCTAGTTTTACAACAAGCTACATAAAAAGCCATAGTGAAGTCAGTACAAAGTTAAATTTCATATGACTTGTTTATACTGCTCTATTTACTATACACTGAAATGTAAGTACAATAGTTATATTCCATTTGATATATTTTATAATTATATGGTAAAAATGAGAAAGTAAGCAACTTTTCAGTAATAGTGTGCTGTGACACTTTTCTATTTTTATGTCTGATTTTGTCAGCAAATAGTTTTTAAATGAGGTGTAACTTGGGGGTACACAAGACAAATCAGACTCCAGGAAGGGATACAGTAGTCTGGAAAGGTTGAGAGCCACTGAAATAGATGATTTTTTGGTTTGGTGGCTGTGGCGAACCGTGTATGCAAGGCCTCTTTGTGGCAGGGGTAGGACGGGGGCCGGCGCCTCACCACTCTCAAGTCCGAACACCCGCCTCTCTGCAGGTGGTCAGTGACGGCCTGTTGGCCTTTCTCCCTACTATCACCCCATCTGGCGTGGTAGCGCAACCTAGCGGTCGGAGTCTATATAAACCCCCTTACGAGCAGGGTAGCGCGGCCTAGCGGCCAGAGTCCATATAAGATCCCTCACGGTTCGGGGGTGAGGGGGTAGGGGGCTCGGGCCCACCCTCTCCACCGAGCCCCGACCCAGGGCCCTGATAGTGGCAAGCGCTCCTTGCCCCTCACTTGGCAGGGATCCGCCCGCAACACGCCGAGTGTCAATGTAGCGCTAGCACTGTTTGTCTCTAGAGTTCCCCTGGGTCACTTCCTACCGTGTATACCAGTTCGTCTGTGGCGGGGGTCCTCCGGTCTGTTCCTCCCCTGGGACGTCCTCCATCGGGGTCTCAGGTAGTGCCTCAGGTTGACTGACTCCCGGATCCTGGCTCGCAGGCCCTCCCTCTGCAGGAGCTAGCGGCGTGCGTCCTTCTCCTCCGGCGGTCAGCCCAGACTGAGCTGATCTGCAGGCTTTTATATCTGTTCTCCAGTTGGAGCATGCCCAGCAGAGCTTCCGGGGCGTGGCTTACTCTGCTAGGAAGGAAGGGTTAACCCCTGCTGTACCAGTGCGGGGCCACTCTGCCCCGTAACAGTGGCCAAACCAGAAAATCCACACACAAAAATTCGGTTAGTTTTGAACCGAAATTGAATTTTTTTGGTTTCTCTCACCGAAACGAAAAACCAACATTTTGTTCGGATCAAATGAAACTATTCAAATGTTGATTTGAACGTACATTTTCAGAACAAAATGTTGAAACGCTTCATTAAAAAAAAAAAAAAAAAAGTTGAAACCAAGTGTTTTAACATTTCCCCCCCAAAAAATTTCAGGTGTTTTTTCAGCCAAAGCTATTCGCTTAATTCAGCTCAAATTTGTTAAGCGTTTCGGTTCCCCAGAAAATGCATTTTTCAGTGAATAATAAATGCACCCCAAAAAAATTAGTCCAGCTTAACTGCTGGGACCTCGGGGACTAATCAGGGTGAAGACACAACCCCTGTGGAATCACTTGAAAGCAGGTCTTGTGGAGTCATTGACAACTTGGCCATTGCCCATATGAAACATGAGGGTAATGACTAACGGTAAGAGTTGGACCAGGAGAGGCAGGAGCAATGCAGCACGCTGACAAGGGGGAAAAGTGGTCTGGGCCGCTGCCAAGAATGCAGTGCTCTGCTGGTTACGTGCACAGCTAGGGGAATGCCATTGTTATGTGAACCTTTGTTGAAACGTGTGGGAGGCGAACCATTATCCACTGTACAAGAAACCTCGACTGCGAGAAACACTCGGTTAAAAAATAAAACCGAGGGCCGCAGGGAGTGGGTGGCTCGGGGGATGAGCAGTGGGCTACAGAGCCTTTAACTTCAGAGTCAGAAGTTGAAATCTAGCGCTGGTCTGCACAGGCTGAGCAATGTTACTATCTATATGCTGTAGGTGTGTGTACACTGCAATCCGAGCGGTGACTGCAGCTCAGGGAGGCAAACCCATGCTAGGTTTACCCGCGCTAGAATGGCTAAAAAAATAGCAGTATAGATGCTGTGCAAGCCCGCTGGAACCCTGGGTGTGTGCTTACATTGCTAGCCTGTGCCACCACTTCTATGCTGCTGTTTTTAGCCACCTTTCTACCCAACCTGCAATCACACCTTGGACTGCAGCACAGACGTACCCTGTGTGGTAGTCTGTACGCTGGAGGGTTCAGCCCACTTTCTGGTCCTCATTACGGAAGCCACCATCACAGTCTCAGCCCAGAGGTGAACTGCCAAGTGCACTGTGTAGGCTGCACTCAAAGCTCACCAGAAGCAGCTGTCGTGCCTAACCAGGGTTGAGGCATTGTGGAAAGACTAGAGACTCCCAGCTAAAGCCTCACCAACTTCTACCCCAAGTGCAAGGCACACTTCCTCGACCTGCCTTCTCCAGCCTCAACGCAGAGCTGCATGTACTTAAAATAAACCTACCCAAACAAACACAGTTCTCTGCTGGGGAAAGGAGGAGAAAGAGAATGACCCACACATAACAAACATGACTGGAAGGTGCTCAGACACTACCGTGTTGAGGGCAGCATAGGAACCTGAATAGACTAGAACTGTCACCCTGCACTAAATTTCCTTTGCAAGAGATCATTGTAAAAGCAAGTGAAGAATCAGTTTGAAAGCGTCCCTCCCCATCTGCATTGTCTACCATCACTCCACCATTTCAGTTTGTTTTTCCAGCCGCGGACACATGCTACCCCTTTTCTTAGGGGGCAGTGACCCATACAGACGTACAGCCCAGTAGTCAAGGTAGGAATGAGCAAGCCTCAAAAGGTCTCAAGAGTCAGTCCAGATAAAGCACTCACACATTTGGATAACTATCTTATCCTCTCCAGGAGGGAAACCTCATGAGACCAGCCTCTCTCATGTGTTTCACTGCTTCTGGTCTCCAGGGGAACCCAGAAGCACAGAGCTCTGTGACAAGGAAAACTGGGGTGAAAAATGTTGTTCAAAGTAGTTTGAACTTATTAGATATTCTTATTAATTCAGCTTCTTAGAGCTGAGTCCATAACAAAAGCCCAGGCCCAAACACTCCCCAAACTCCGGAAATTCTCATATACAAACATAGTGTCTCTAGTGCTTATTGTATTCAAAGCAATAAGTCCACCTGCGCCTCAGACCCTATGCTGCCATGCCAGAGGCAGGAGTTTGATGCCTCACTCTGGTCCCATTTGCCCTGGCCCAGAAGGGGTATGGGAATATGGTGCAAAAAGCACTTTCAGTCTATAGGAGGAGGGGATCCATGGGCTTACTCTGCCAAAGTCCTGTCATTCAGCAGAAGCAGTGAGAACAGCCTAGGCAGTGTAAGCCAGCCCCCTCAGAACTCAAGCCCTTCGGGGAACTCGGTAGTTTTAGGAAGACAGCTACAGTGTTGGGTTTACACTGTTGCTGCAGCCAGTGGGGAATTCTTTGGGAACCTGGACCACAGCAGGTTTGCTGGAGGCTCTTCAGCATTGCTGGGCGGAAGGTCTGTGTGATTCAGCCCACAGACCAAGCATCCCGAACCATTGCCCTTTTGGGAACTGCAAACTCATCTCTGAAGCTGGCTGAGCGCTCACCGGGCTGGCAGGCCCCATGGGGAGCGTTCAAGCTTTGTTGATCAAACGTGGATTTCAGGGCAGCCTCCTGATTTCCTGTTGTTTCCTCTGTCTTCACAGGCACTGGCCAGAGCTGCTGCTGGGTTCCATTTGCCTTCCCTCAGGGCTGAATGCCCAGCAAGGGGACTGCACCAGCCACAGGTGGGGAGAACAGGTGTCCAGCCAGCCAACTGCCATGGAGCGGGTCAGCTCCTTCTTCGACTCCCTCTGGAATCTCATTCACACCAAGCACCAGGAGGGCATCTTCAACACTGTCTGCCTGGCCGTGCTGTTGGGGCTGCCCTTCCTCGTCCTCCTCGTCGTCCTCGTCATCTGCTGTCACTGCTGCTTCTGTAGACGGCAGGGCAAAGGCAGCAGCAATGGCAGCAGCAGCAACGGGCAGGTCCCAGCAGAGAGGAACAAAAAAAGGAAGAAGAAGGGTGAAGAGGACCTGTGGATCTCGGCTCAGCCCAAGCTGTTCCTGCTGGACAAGACACCGTCACTGCCCGTCTAGTCGGAGGGACGGAGCAAAGACCTTCCTCCCAGTGAGACCTTCTGGCCATGTGCCGCAAGGAGCTGCTGTGATGGCTCCGTCTCCTTTGATAATGACTTTAAAACCAGGACTTTCAGGACAAGCCAAACAACTAGTGAGAGCACGGAGACGTCACTAGAGGGCACGCAGTCCAGCATATCTTTACATGCACAGCCAGCATTGCACTAGGCAGGGTCCTGCAGGACACACACATCCATGTGCACAAGGACACGCGTGCACTGACACGTACAAGCATTCATGCAGCTATGTGCACAACATACCTGCACTCCCATGCAAACACGCCTAATGTCACGTACACATGGACATACGTGTACATGGCACATGGACATACATGTACACAAGAACATACACACATGCACTTGAAAACTAACCCACCCTGGCACTCCTCTGCGCACACATGGGCGCATGCTCCTGCGCAGATATGAGCACAAGGTTACAGCACAATGAAAAGGGTTTTCCTTCACACCCTGGCAAGCTATTGCTTCACAGCTCCTGAAGACACAGGTATCCAGCCCACTGCCAGAGCTTCCCATGGGGCTTCCTAATCCAGCCCTGCCTTACAGACCAAAAGACGTTCCCCCAAGGCAGCAAAGCAGCTGCCCCTACTGCTGGCAGCCATCCCCAGAACAGAGGATGGCAAGAACAGATCAAACATGGCACAGTAAGGGACTGAAACCTTTGCACTGGCACTACAAAGCCCGTCTAAGACTGGCCTCAGTGCAGCCTGGTCCTTTGGCAGATCATTCTGCTGCAGGGAAGGTGGCTTCATTTCTATACTGCAGCGAGAGAGGAGACTCCAGCTGATGCTGCACAGAAGCTTGGTTCCAGCATTAGAGTTATTTATTTAATGACTACTAGAAAGGGTTCATTCGTGGACCAAAGGCCCATGTATACTATTCGGGCCTCGGAACATTGACTCCATGCAATAACTTAGGCCATGCACCCCCCAGACACACACGCAGCCAGAGCCACACTCCCCCAGACACACAGGCATGCCCATGTAGCACACCCAGACAGGGGTACACACAAATGGGCACACACTGGTGTGGAGTAGCTCCTGCCATCCAGCTGTGCCGCTGGTCCAGGAAGCATTGCAAGGGCAGCTGGCTCTGGAATGGAATACAACACAAAGACGTAGCAGGGGGCCTGAATCCAGATACACTTCATACCTCCCGCCCACCAAAGCTTCCCTCCCTCCCCGCCCAGCCCTAAGAGAGATTGTCCTAGACAGAACCCCCACACACACATTTCACAGATGTGCCTTCCTCCCACTCCTGAGACCTTCCTCTTCTTCTCAAGCAAGGCAGCTCATCCCATTCCCGCAGGTAGCCAGTCAGCAGGCCACAACCATCTGTGCCCCCTGCTCCATCTCTGACCCCACCCACGCCCTCTTTGACTGCAGAGTCTGTTTCCCAGGGGTCCTGCCTGACTCCTCCCTATCCATGCACTATTGTAGTTCTCATCAAGGCTTATTTAAGTCTCATTTACATGGTTTGCAAATAAACAGAGTGGGTGGACACCTCGTCTCATCTGCTCTTTC